CACACTAAAAAAAAAAAAAAAAGAAAACCAAAAGGGAAGAAAACACTCATTTTTCTCAAGCTGAAAGACTTTAAGAACAGAAGTAAGCCTCAAATTGCAACACTGAAGGAGTCTATGGGCAAAGTACTGAATGATGCAGGAAGTATAAAAATATGATTGAAGGAATACACAGAGTCAGTGTACCAAAAAGAATTAGTCGACCCTGAGCTACTTCAGGAAATAGCATAGGATCAACAACCAATAGAATGGAAGGAAGAAGTCTAAATTGCACTGAAGGCATTGGCAAAAAAATAAGATAGAGCTGATGGAATAACAACTGAAGTATTTCAGGTCATAGATGCAATCCTGGATATTCTTACCAGCATCTGTCAACAAACATGGAAGACAACTACCTCATCAATTAACTAGAAGAAATTCATTGCCATTCTCATGAAGAGTGATCTAACAGACTTTGGAAATTATCAAACAATATCAGTAATGTCAATGCAAGTAAAATCTTGCTGAAGATCATATTAAAAACAGCTGGGACAGTATAGCGAAACTGCCAGAAATTCAGGCTAGATTCAGAAAAGGCTGTGGTAGAAGAGTATTGTTGCTGATGTCAAATGGATCCTGGCTGAAAGAAGATAATACCAAAAGGATGTTTACTTGTGTGTTGTTGATTACGCAGAGGCCTTTGATTATGTGAATCATAAACAAGTATGGATAACATAGAAAAGAAGAAGAATCCCAGAACACTTAATTGTGCTCATATGAGACCAAGAAGCAGTTGTCTGAACAGAACAAGGGAACACTGCATGATTTAAACCCAGGAAAGGTATGTGTCTTGGTTGTATCATTTCTCCATATCTATTCAATATGTATGCTGAAGAAATCATTCAAGAAGCAGGACTACATGAAGAATGTGGCATCAGAAATGAAGGAAGATTCAATAACAAGATGACACAACCTTGCTTACAGAAAATGAAGAAGACCTGAAGAACTTACAGTGGAAGATCAAAGACTATAGTTTCCAAAATGGGTTCTATCTCAACAACTGGTCCAATAGACAGTATCATGATTGTTGTTGCATATCAGAGTCAGAACTGACCCATAGCTGACTCTCCAGTGGGTTTTCAGAGGCAGTAAATCACACAAGAAGAGGCTGCTTATCCTTCTCCCATGGAGTAGTTGATAGATTTGAACCCCCATCTTTGTGTAGGCAACACAATTCTTTACCTCTAAGCCATCAGAGCTCCGTATTATCATGAAACATAGAGAAAAGACTGGAGTTGTCAATTATTTTTTTGTACTTTGATCCATAATCAACACCATTGGTAGAAGCAGTTAAGAATTCAAAAGACCCTCAACAAGAAAAAGGTAAATAACCCTATCACAAAATGGGCACAGGATATGAAGACACACTTCACCAAAAAAGCCATTCAGGTGGCAAAAGCATGAAGAAACATTCAAAAATCTCCAGTTTTCAGAGAAATGTAAATAAACACAACTATGAGATTATCATTTTAGCCCAGCAACAACAGCAAGGTTCAACAGGATAGCAAACAACAAATGGTGGCAAGATTGTGAACACTCTTATTCACTGCTTAGGGGAATGTAAAATGGTACAGCCACTATGAAAGGTGGTCTGGTGCATTTTCAAAAAGTTAGAAATAGGATTACCATCTGGCCCAGCAATTCCACTATTGGGAATATACTCTAAAGAAACCAGAGTCATGACTCAGATGTATGTACATCCACGTTTACTGCTGCAGTATTCACAACAGCAAAAAGATGGCAGCAACTCAAGTGTCCATTAACAAATGAATAGATAGAAAATCTACAGCACATTCACGCAGTGAAATATTATGCAGTACTTTAAAACAATGAGCTCATACAACTTACACAACATGGGAGAGATTGGAGGACATTATGCTGAGTGAAATTTCTCAGTCACAAAAGGACTAATAACACCACTGTTATAAAATAGGACAGACATGGGGGAGGGAGCTGGGAAGAGAATGGAAAAAGAATAGATGCTATGAAGAATATGGCATCAGGATTGGAGGAAGACTCTTCAATAACCTACATTCTGCAGATGATACAACCTTGATTCCTGAAAGTAAAAAGTATTCGAAACACCTGCTTCAGAAGATCAAAGACTACAGCCTTTAATATAGATTGCACCTGAACATTAAGAAAACAAAAATTCTTACCACTGAACTGACAGGTAACATCATGATAGATGGAGAAAAGATTGAGACCATCAACAACTTCATCTTACTTGGATCCATACCCAACATCCTTGGTACCAGCAATCAGGATATCAGGAGGCATATTGCACTGGGGAAGTCTGCATGACATCAGGGACCTCTCCAAATTATTGAGGAGCAATGACATCAATATGAGGACTAAGGTGTGCCTGATTCAAGCCATGGTCTTCTCAATAAATTGCTATACCTCTGAGAAATGGACAGTGAATAAGAATGACAGAAGTTGTGGTGTTGGAGAAGAGTGCTGAATATTCTATACACAACCAAATGAACAAATAGATAAATTGTGGAGAGCATGCAGCCATAGTGCCCCTTGGAGGCAAAGATAACAAAGCTTCATCTCACGTATTTTGGGCATATTGCAAGAAAAAACTGTTCCATGGAGACATCATGCTTAGGAAGGAGGAAGGTCAACAAAAGAGAGGAAGGCCCTCAACCAGTTGGACAGACACAGTAACTGTAGCAATGGACTCAAGTGTGTCAGAGATGTTAAGAATGGCACAGAATAGGTCAAGTTTCTAATCTGTTGTTCATAGGGTCACTATGAGTTGCACTCGATTCAATGGTACCTATCAATAACCACTTCTGAAAGGTTCTGGATTGATTCTGGGAAAGGGGATGACTTTTCTACTGAGAATCTTAGTGTCTATATGATCATTTCACTTGCTTCAATTTTACTTTGTTGTTGTTATATGCTGTCCGGTTGCTTGCAACTCAAAGTGATCCTATGTACAACAGCACTGAACCTGGCGTTATCTTGAGTCAACCTCATTGTCTCTGACACACCTATCCCTATTACTCTGGTCACAATCCATCTCATCCAGGGTCTTCCTCTCTTGTGCTGTCCCTCTACCCTTTCCCTCCTTACAACATGCCCAAAGTATGTCAGACAAAGCTTCAAAATCCTTGCCTCCAAGGAGCAATCTAGTTTCACCCTCTCCAGGACGGATCTGTTTGTTCTCCTAGCAGTCCATGGTATATTCAATACTCTTCTCCAGCTCCACAACTCAAAGGCATCAATTCTTCTTCTAGAATCCTGAGTCATTGTCCAGCTCTCTGGACAATAACAGACATAATTATAAATTTATCTAAGTTTTTCAGGCAGGACAATACTGGACCCAAGTCATCAGCTCAGATTCTCTCCCATGTCCCTCACTCCTCTGGTTAATCACAGTTGAATTCAATGAAAGTTTAGGTCATTCATTTGGTAAAATTTATGAAACGTACAAGCAGTCATCAACTTAAAACAGATTCCAGTCTAACAACTCTGTTGTAAATCAGTTCTGCCATAAGTCTACTGGTTAACTTTTTTTCTACCTCTTATTATCAGTAACTTTGTAAGTTCACTTTACAGTTGTCTTTAGAGATTGGAAGCATTACATATAAACTTATTGATACATTTTAATGCATATGTACATAATTAAACCAACTTTTTTTTTTTTTTTTTTTTACAGTGAGGCTTATTAGCAAGCATTCTGTCATAACTCCACTTCTGGAATCTTTGTTCTGGGCTCAACTTGCCTACTTCCAAAATACAGCAGCACTCTGTGGTGTCAAGGAATTCGAAGTGTGTGCCTTTAGGTTGCCAGCGCAGCTTTTTACCAGCCCCTTCCCATTTATGCCTACGAGATTTTACTAAAGCGATAATTAACGCGGCAAATGGGGAGCGCTAGTATTTTAGTGGCTAGGAGTTGCGCTGTCAACCCAAAGGAACAGGGTTCACCTACTAGCTGTTGTGCGGGAGAAAGATGGGCAATCTCCTCTCGAGCAATTTACTGCTTCTGAAAACCCGCTGAAAAATCAGCTATGAGTTAGTTCCGACTCGATGGTACAGAACAAGAAAATTACAAAAAACCTACAATGCAACTCAAACTCATTACCGTGGAGTCGGAACAAACTCATGAGCTGACTCATCAGAAGGTTTCTGAAGGCTGTAAATTGCACAAAAGGAGACTGCCCTTCTTTCTCCCGCGGAGCCGCCGAGGGATTTGAATCGCCCAAGAGGGAAAAGAACTATAGCGACGAAGAAATGAAAAAACAGAGGTGGCGGGTGTTCAGTGAAATTCAAAGCTCTGATCAAAAGCTCACCTATAACGGCGTTGTTTAAGATCAATGGCATTAGCTGCTAAGAAAGGGGGAAAGCTAAGATGCTAGTATACATCTCAGGCTTTTACTGAACATTTGAGAGTTTCTGAATGACAGACAGGGTTTTCCTTCTAAGCACTCATTCAATTCCCGCCATCAACATCCCTCCTACTCCGCTCCTTCCTTTCAAACCAACGAAGGTAAAATCTCCTACAGCGCCTCCTTTCTCCTTTTTCCGAATCTTGCCGCATAATTACTCACCGTAAAGGCCGCATCTTGTTTCCTTAAAAGCTGGAAGTTTGCTGCTTTCAAGCCAGGTAGCAATAGCAGTTTTAACTCCCGCTTCAAACCAAACTCAAAGTTGTCCGCCTACCCGCTAAATTCCACCAATGATTCCCAGGCAGCCTTGCGGCCGCGCATGACACTTACAAAGAGTTAACTTGTTCCTTTTCCGCGTTAGGTCAACGCCATCAGAGTTTACGCTTTTCCTTTGCACTTTCGCCACCACACGCTATATGGGAAGACTCAATAATAGTATAAATGTATTCTTACAGTTCTAAAATTTATAAATTGTGCTGTGAGGGCTAAATGGCGTTTGGAGTGACATATTATTCATAAATTACCGGGAACAAGGAAAAGGTCTGTGCGAATCTACGCTGACGGATCTGCTGACTGTAAATGAAGTTGGAAGGTCAGCTGATGTTCCTGGTGCAGGTGCTGCTTGACAGCTCGGAGTGTGAGGATTGCTCCTGTGTTTTGGAAGTAGGCAAGGTGAGCCTAGAACCAAGGAAAAGGAAACTCTAACGGAAGGGCTGGTCTCCTTTCTTGGCTGGATTTTCTTTGTCAGAGAATCTGCCTTACCTTTCACTTACTAATTTGAGCTTCAGAGCCTCCGTACCTGATTATATGTTCGGGGTCCTACCCTCCCACTGCATTTTTGTACCAGAAACCTTCCTTGAAGGTATTTAAAACTACCACTATGACTTCAGATAGACAGTAACAGTTTCCTCTCTCCAATTTAAAAAAAATAATAATAATCCTGGAACAAGGAAACTTCTAAACTTGCTTAATCACAATAACTCTAAGTGTGACTCGAATGAAATCAGAGCTGATGGAATTTGTTTGTTGAAAGTATGGAATCCAAATGAGATTAGACCATGAATACATATTTCTGTAGACTACAAGTTCTTGCTATAATGTTTCTTTACTGACTTTGCTTTCATCACGTGTACTTAGTGAACTGTGATTTTTCTTCTCATATTTTTCTAAAGAATTTATTTTAGTGAGTGCTATCAGAAACCTGGACAATGACTAGGAATGATAGAATTGATGCCTTTGAGCTGTGGTGTTGGAGAAGAGTATTGAATATACCACGGACTGTTAGGAGAATAAACAGGTTCATCCTGGAGAGGATGAAGCCAGGCTACTCCTTGGAGGCAAGGATTCTGAAGCTTCTTCTGACATACTGTGGATATCTTGCAAGGAGGGATCAGTTCTTGGAGAGAGAGGGACGTCATGATTGGGAGGGTGGAAGGACAGCACAAGAGAGGAAGAGTCTCGGTGAAATGGATTGATTCTGTGATCGGGGTAATGGGGGTAGGTGTGTCAGAAGCAATAAGATTGGCACAGGACAGAGCAGGGTTCAGAGCTGTTGTACATAGGGTTGCTATGAGTCGCAGGTGACTCGATGGCATAGAACAATAACAACATGTGCAATCGATCAGAACCAACTCATAACTGACTCACTAGCGTGTTTTCAGAGGCAGTAAATTGCACGAGAGAGGAGTACCTGTTTTTCTCCCTCAGAGCAGCCGGTACATTCAAAACTTTTAACCTTTGAGTTCACAGTGCAGCTCTTAATTACTGTGCCACCAGAGTTCCATTCGTATTGTACTACTAACTTCCATTTATTGATCATCATGTTTGTTAGGTGCTTTTTTTATTATTTGACTAATCTTTGTAATAGTCTTGCCACTTAAATCTCTAATTGCCAGTTGTTCACAAGTAAATGGCAGAATTGGAATTTAAACTACTGTATTTAATATTATACAACCAAAGGCCTATTTTCTTACTGTTATCTATACATCAATATACTGCCTTCATCCAGCAAATATTTGTCTGAAGTCTTTGTGGACCATTTCAGGGATGTAGTTCACAGGATGCTCACAGCCCGGTGAGGATACGATAAAAATGAAGCGAGAAATGTAAACAAGAATTAAGTCACTGAGGATGTAGTATGCCGTGATAGGGTGTCTGGGCGAAGAGACAGTGCTAGGAAAACTTAATGGAAATTCTAAGAGGAGGAATAGGAAGAGTTGGTCCTTTTTTTGCAAGAAAATAATTTTGTATAGTCCAGAGAAGAGATAATGAGGCCACCAGAGTCATTGGGATTATAAAAATTCTGTCATTTTCTCTTCCTTATTGGCAGCTCATAGCCGAATAATAAGCAATCCAGAGCTTTCTAATTTAGTCCTTCATATTCATCCAGATTCCTTTTTTACCATGTATATGTTGTATTTAAAAGTAAAATAGTATTTTTTGCATTTATATACTTATATATTTTCATATGTTTTATATCTTCTGTATCCAAAAGAAAAATTTAGCCATTTCTTTTGTGATTAGGCAAAGCCTTTATTCTCCACCAGCACTTATCCATTTGCATTAGGAAGTACATTTTGTAAAGTGCAAAAGGTTATTGAAGCTGTCAATTATTTAATCTTCCTTGGATCAACATCAACACGCTTGGAAATAGCAGTCAGAAAATCAGGAGATGTATTGCATTTGGCAAGTCTCCTGCCAGGGACGTCTCCAAAATGCTGAAGAGCATTGAAGTCAGTTTGAAGACTAAAATGTACCTGACTCATGCCATAGTCTTCTCAATTACCTGCCACACATAACAGAGCTGTGCAATGAAGGATGCAAGAAGAAGAATTGATGCCTCTAAGTTGTGGTATGGAGAAGAGTACTGAATATCCCATGGACTGCCAAAAGAACACACAGATATGTCTTGGAAAGAGTGCAGCCATACTGCTCTAGGGGGGCAAAAATGGTGATGCTTCATCTTTCAGACATTGGGAGTATCATGCTTGGAAAAATGGAGGTTCAGCAAAGGAGATGAAGACCCCCAACAAAATGAATTGACACAGTGATTTTAACAGTTGTTTGTTGGTTTTATGTGCCATCGAGTAGCTTGTGACTCATAGCGACCCTATGTACAACAGCCCTAAACTCTGCTCTGTCCTGTGCCAATCACACTGTCTCTGACACCCCTATCCCTATTACTCCAGTCACTGAATCAATCCATCTCATAGAGGGCCTTCCCCTCCTGCACTGTCCCTCCACCCTCCCAAGCATGATGTCCTTCTCCAAGGACTGGTCTCTCCTCACAACATGTCCAAAGTATATTAGACGGAGCCTCAGAATCCTTGCCTCCAAGGAGCCACCCAGTTTAACCCTTTCCAGGATGAATCTGTTTGTTTTCCTAGCAGTCCATGGTACTCTCAATACTCCTCCAGCTCCACAGCTCAAAGGCATCACTTCTCCTTCTATCCTCCTTAGTCATTATCCAACCCTCTTATGCATAACAAGTGATTGCAAAGACCATGGCCTGTATCAGACGCACCTTAGTCTCCAGGGAGACACCATTGCTCTTCAGTACTTTGGAGAGGTCCCTAACAGCAGGCTTTCCCATGGCAATGCACCTTTTAATTTCCCAGCTACTGGTGCCAAGAGTGTTGACTGTGGAGCCGAGGAAACTAAAGCTGTGAGCAATCTCAATTTCTTCACCATCCATCCTGATGCTGCCAATTGGTTCAGTGGTGAGAATCTTTGTCTTCTTGACGTTGAGCCTCAATCCATATTGGAGGCTGCAGTCCTTGACCCTCTGCAGCAGGTACTTCAGGTTCCTCCTCAGTTTCAGCAAGCAGGGTTGTGTCATCTGCATAATGCAGATTGTTGATAGATCTTCCACCAATCCTGATGCCACATTTCTCCTCATAGAGCCCAGCCTCCCGGATAATCTGTTCTGCATACAGGTTGAAAAGGTATGGAGATAGGACACATCCCTGGCGTATGCCCTTCCCAGCTTTGAACCATGCAGTGTTCCCTTGCTCTGTTCTGATGACTGCCTCCTGGTCGAAGTATAGGTTTCTAGTATGTCAGAGATGATAAAGATGATACAAGAAAGGGCAGGTTTCAGGTTGGCACTTTGTAGGGACCTTCACAGCAAGCACCTAATAACAACAATAGCATAGAACCTGATAAATTTTTACATAATGCCTATATCCATGTAACCCCAACTAGATTGATACATAAAACATTTCTAGAACTTCCTTAAAGTTGCTAAAACCACTTCCCTATCAATATTCCCAACCCCTGTGGTGAATCCTGTTCTAATTTCTATCACAATCAGTTAATTTCCCTCACCTCCCCACCCATCAAATTGTACAACTCAATGATTAATCCCCCCCTCCTCCTGCACATCTACATCCCTCTGCTTCCAGCCTCTCCCTACCCTTCCTGGATCCTTATACTCATTCTACAATAATGGTTTTATACAATATTTATCCTTGTGGGGCTGAGGGAGTTCACTCAGCATAAGGTTCTCCAGTCCCTCCCAAGTTAGGTAATAATTTACAAAGTTATTATTTACAAAAGTTATAATTTACAAAGTTGTGTGGCTGCTGCATAATATTCCACTGTGTGAATGTACCATAATTTCTCAATCCATTCTTTTGTGGTTGGACATTTGGGCTGTTTCCATGTTCTTGCGATGGTGAATAATGCTGCTATAAACATTGATGTCCAAATCTGAGTTTGTACCTCAGTTGGTTAACTGATATTCGACAAAGAAATCAAAGCTATCAAATGGGAAATGGCAACCTCTTCAAAAAATGGTGCTGGCAAACTGGACAGCTGCCTGCAGAAAGGTGAAACAGGATCCACATCTTGCAACAGACACAAAAATCAACTCAAGGTGCAATGCTCTTTTGTGTGTCAGGAAGTGTGAGGATGGCACAGGAGAGAACAGGGTTCAGATCTTTTGTTTATAGGGTTGATATAAGTCGTACTCAATGGCACTTAACAACAAGTTCATTTTTTAAAGTTGCTGCACAATATTCAACATGTGACTAAACCATAACTTACCATTCTTCTATTGAAAATCACTTGAGTTGCTTCCAGTTTTTTACTTTTATGAATAAACCGGCAAAGAATAATTTTCTAAGCGTGTTTGTTATATGTGTGTGTTTTATAACAACTGCACATTTTATGCTATCTCTATCCACTTCTTAAATGACATGCCTCTGGAAACTCTATGAACTTTGATAAATATTGATAGTTGTAGAGTAGCTTCAGGCCTTTTTTTCATAGGGTCGCTATGAGTCGTGCTCTACTCGAAGGCAATCAACAACAATATTTTA